AACTGGAACAACGACTTGTCAGACGACTAGGACAATGACTGGGCCCATAACCGATGTCAGCATCGCCCTTGAGCCAGTGCCACCAACTCGACTCATCCACTTCAGCCCCGACTGGGCTAGGTGAGCTGGGTAGCACTTCCAGAGACCACCTTCTGCACAGGAACAGGTCAAAGTGCTGTGGACTCACAGCTTAGAGTTGTGAGCACCGGATTCACTTCCACAAGAAGACAGTCATCGCACAGCAGAGTACAGCAGAGTCTAGCAGAGTATATAAACAACTCGGAGAGCAGCTCTGTAGAATATCTTCTTTATTCTATAACTACAACTATAATACAACTATATACAAAGCTAAATAGGTCTAAGCATAAATAAATGCTGCACTGCACTGAGTGTCTGCAGCTGCTCTTAGCAGCAACCTTATCTCTACACACGATCTCTAACACTCTCTCTCTCTCCAACACTGACTGACTGACTGACTCGGTGCTGGAGCAGAATAAGTAGAGAGCAGAACACGCCTCCTCCTCTCTGGAGAATCAGCAGACTCCTCAGGAGATTCTTGGATATGGGAGGGGTGAAATCTCCTCACAAAGAAGACAGTAAGAAAGGATTCAGTTACACCATATCCAGGTTTCAAAGGGAAGTGATAGAAGGGAAAGTCAAATTATTGAAGGGTGCATATAGCATCCTGCTAGAATGGGAGATGAACGACAAAGAGGTGAAATCAGTTATGATTAAATGGGCACAAGATATAGGTCATAATATTATGCTGGAAGATTGGGAAAGGTTATGGAAAATTGACTTAAAATTTACAGATTGTTCCTCGTTGAAAGACAATTATATGAAGATGATGTATAGATGTTATATAACACCAGTGCAGTTAGGAAGAATGTATAAAACCAGTTCAAATGTGTGTTGGAAGTGTAAAGAAAAGGAAGGGAATTTTTACCATAGATGGTGGGATTGTAATGAAATTAAAAAGTTTTGGGAAATGATATACAATGAACTGAAGCAAATGTTCCATCTAACATTTGTTAAAAACCTGAAGCATTTTTGTTAGGGATTGTAGGAAAAGACCTGCCAAGGAAATTGAAAAAATATCTTCATGTATGCTACAACGGCAGCAAGAGTCTTAATAGCACAAGGATGGAAGAACAAGGAAATCCCGACTAAAGAATTATGCGAAGAAAAACTGATGGACTAGGCAGAATTGGCAAAATTGACACATAAACTACGGGACAAGGATAACTGTGACTTGAAAAATGCAGTGTTTGATGGGCCTTACGGAGGTGGAGTGCGGGAGTCTTATGAAGTAAGACGCGCTTGCCGGAGCTCCCCTTTCCAGTTCATGCTGTAAGTTACTCCGCTCCTATTTTTCTCTGGAAGTTGGCACGATAATGTTTTGATGATAACGCCAGGAGCTCACCCTGTGGAAGCTTGTAAAGGCAGCGCCATAAAGCTCCTTAATGAGCTTCACTAACACCCTGATTAGCTGTAACTTGGGCAGCCACCGGCCGCGCTTCCCTGGCCTTCCACCAGCTCTTGCTTGGCCTTTGAAGGACTCTTAGATAACCGAGCCGCTCAAGGGGTTTAGCATGACGAATCTAAAACGTGGTCGTACCTCTTCTGTGGAAGACTGTTCCTTTAATGCCTCAGAACCTAGGTCGAAGGTTTCGAAGCCTACTGGGCTGGATTCACCACCTAAGATCTTAGAGCCTTCTATCTCATCATTGGAGGAGTTTTTCTGCAATCTTGTGCCTCCTTCACCTGTTACTTCCAAGCAGTTAGATTGCCTACATGATCCTGCAATGACTCCAAACAACCTTTTAAACACCTCCAAGCAGATAGACTGTCCACATGATCCCGCAACGACTTTAAATACCCCCTTGTCAGGAGACAAATCGCTGTTGGATATGACCTCCAGCCCAGATGGCCTCTCTCCTACCCCGACCCTCATCGTAAATCTTTATGTGATATAGTACAATCAGCGGAGCTGAGGACTTTGCAGAAATATTGCCTTCACTTGGCTGACGAAATAAAGGTGCTATCAGCTTCCATCAATATGTTAGAGGGAAAACTAAATGCCTTCACCAAAACCCCTGTCTCGATTTTGAACCCGCCATTAAATCATCAGGGACCTGATAATTATGAGGCACAGAGCCTAAGTAGGGGGCAGCAGCTAGTAAACCTCCAACTCACCCCTAACAATATATGCTTGAACATCGCTCACTCCTGCTTCCCTATTATGCCTGGAGAAATCGTAAAGCTGCTGTGATCTCATTGCGAATGTTGACCAGGTCTTACTTGGCCCAGGGTGGTCTCCTATCATTAGAATGGCTGCCAGAGACTCCAAAATTTAAGCGCTTGTTGCTCAAGTTCGACTCTCCCAGGCTTCCTGCACTTTTGAGCAAACTTCAAAATCGTCTCAACTGGTTTGGAATCTTTCCACAAAGATGCTTCTTTAACAATTGTAGGGGCATTATTGGGAAAATCCCAAATTCAGCAAATTTGGTTAGCCGGCCTACAAGGAGGACTGAGGACCGGAATTCGCAGCAACGGACCCTTCCTATGAACCCTCCCCACGATTTACTAGCCGACCATCCCACCGGCAAGAAGGGACTGCCTTAAGGGGTAGAGCTTTGACGGGTCCAGCTTTGGCCACTATAGATGCTTCTAAAGATTGGCAGACACAAGCCTATGTGGACCCCCCTGCAGCGAAAACGATCTCCAATCCTCAAAATGGCTGCATTCCTTGTGCTGATACCATGACGATGCAAGAGACACTGGGGGATCCAGTAGCCCTTTGGACAAACACTGAGGCAGTGGCAAGGCTAAACAAGCTACTGGAAGCTAACCGAAAAGGATGTCTTTCTTCTGTCTTACATAGTGCTTTCCCATCAACAAGCCTCGATCCTCAAGGCACGACTCCTGCAACTACAGAGCATACGGCAAACGACGAGTCTATGGACTTGTCGGTTAGTAACACCCCCTCGTATCAAGATTTTCTCTTACAGCGATCTGTAAATTCGCCCCAGCCACTGGCTGCTCCTGTGACATGTGACAACTTGAACCTGAAGTGCAAACAATCAAAAATCACTGCCTTTTTTCACCCTACTGCCCCTTCACGCAGCGTGCACCCCCATTTGGATTCTCCAGGATCAACCACGCAAGAGAAATCATGACTTGAGGGAAACACAAAGCGGCCTCTTACACTACTATCATGGAATGTGGCTGGTATTAAATCCAAACTGACAGATCCATCATTTGTTGCTTATATAAATGGCAGCCACATCCTCCTATTCCAAGAGTCATGGGCCTGTGAGGACTTCTATCTAACAGGATACAAGGGCTTCTACCTGAATGCCACGCAGAATTCGTTATCACATGGTAGACCGCAAGGAGGCTTGGCTACTTTTGTTTCCTTAGCCATAAATCTTCAGGCCGAAAAAATCGACATCCAGTCGTCACTCATGCTGATTATAAAGTTGCAAACAGCAGAGGAAACGATAGTAGTGATCAATATCTACTTATGTCCAATTTATAAGAGAAATTTGGTTGATCTGAGATGGCAGGAAATCCAAGTGACATTGGAAACGCTTTTTGACAAATACCCCAAGCCACTTTTCTGTTGGCGGGAGATTTTAATGGACGCCTGTCACACACTGACCAAATCTTATTCTCTAAATTTAGCAAGTACCCTTCTTCACCTCTTATGACTGCAGATCTTTTACCAAGGAAATTCAAAGATAACATAGCCACTTACGCAGGTTTCAAATGCAGGCAAACCTTGCTGGCCCTCAATTTCCTTCTGCTAAATGGGGCAATCAGCTCGGACTACCCTGCCGAATTCACCTATTGGTCAGGTTCACGTGCATCCACTATTGATTTTGTATGGATATCTCCTGACCTTACCCCAAAAATATCCAGCTTTAAGGTGGCTTCAAGATTGGAGAGTGATCACTTCCTCTAGAAATTTCCTTGACTCTGGCTGACGAACTTGATAGGCACTCCTTTGTGCACCTATCAAATGACCATCTGGAGATAAGACCTACAGCCCTTAAATGGACCTCCAATTCGGCCCAGCAGCTGAACGAACTTCTCTGGTCTGATCAGTTCCAAATAGAAAGGGCTTCCCTTATGCAGGCGGATGAGCCTCTACCAGTGTATGACGATTTAGTAGAACTTCTAAAACCAACACTAGCTCGGTCCCCCACAAAGCATGGTAAACAGTTTTTCCAAAAAAATGGTTCGATGAGGAATGCAAAAACTTCAAGAATCATCTGTATAATGAATGGTTGGCATACAGAGCATCAAATGACCCCATGCCAAATAATCGTCTTATCACCCTCAGGAGAAGTTATAAAGCCCTACTAAAGGAAAAGAAGCTCGAGGCAGAAAGAAACAATTGGAACAACCTTTTGATAGCTGCAGAGAATAGAAATCCAGCCTCTTTTTGGCAGTTAATTCCAGATACCTGGGTAGGCCGCTTGCAAGAATAGAACCCCACATCTCAGCGGACACTTGGGAAAGATACTTCGCCGATCTGTATGCAGCTCATGATGCCTGCGGAGATACGGTGGAGCCGGAAGCACTGCCCGATTGGGACCCAGTTACATGCCCTGAAGTTGAAACTCTCATAGATCGATTTAAAGCAGGCAAGGCCCCCGGTGATGACCTTATATCCATTGATGTCATCAAAGCAAATAAAGATTGGTGGATCCCACTTTTAGCAGCACTTTACACGTATATAAACAAAACAGCAAAATTTCCCTCAAGCTGGAGCTCTGCGTTGATTGTATTAATACATAAGAAAGGACCACGTACAGAGCCGAGCAACTTTAGGCCAATCAGCTTGCTAAATGTCATTGGGAAGATTTACTCGGGATACCTGCTAAACAAACTATTGAAATGGATGGAGGACGACAATATCATTGCCGATGAACAGGCGGGCTTTCGCCCTGGAAGATCTACCACAGACCAAATATTAACCTTGAATCACCTGGCGGAAAAGTATGCCGGCAAAGCCCCAAAGGTTCTTCATGTGGCCTTTATTGACCTTAAGCAGGCATTTGATCGAATCTCTAGAAAGCAGCTATGGACAAAACTGGCCGCTACAAAGATCGATCGCCGTCTCCTTCATCTGATTACCAGCCTCCATACAAACACCTTTCTGAGAATCAGGCTAGACAATAAAGGCCTAGTCTCCAACCCGGTTACCACCACTAGAGGGGTAAGACAGGGTTGTCTATTGGCCCCAGCATTGTTTAATTTTTACATTAACTCACTGGTGACTCACATGGCCAATGATGCTTTCCACCCCCCCAAATTAGCAGGCCGATCTCTGAACGTTCTTCTGTATGCGGATGACGCCGCACTTCTTGCCAGATCCCCTATTGGACTGAGGAGAATGTTGCAAGCTCTACATGAATACTGTGATCAGCATGAGCTCCAACCCAACTATGCTAAGACCAAGATCATGGTCTTCTCTGCCCGACCGAGACTCCATCGATGGTCGATGAACGGGATCCCCCTGAGCAGGTTAACTGCTTTAAATATCTGGGACAAGTAATACGGTCAAATAGGTCTTTTCTGGCCCATAGAGACTATATAACAACTAACGCATCTAAAGCAGCCATCCAGATTAGATCTCTATATGCTAAGAATCAGGCTCAATCAGTCAAGATAGCTTTGAGACTCTTTCAAATGAAAGTCCTCCCCTTCTTTTGGTGGGCATCTCTTTAGGCTCCCGTAGGGATTTTTTGAAACTGGATTCTATCCAAATGCGATTCCTTAGAGCCATCCTTAGGATTCCCCCCTCGGTAGCGGGTGCGGTTATGAGATTAGAGGTCGGCTGGCAAGCTCTACGGTATGTGGCCTTGAAGACGAAGCTCTGGCTATGGCTCAAGCTTTGTTTTAAACCAGTGGGTATTGCCCCCTTGATATTGAGGGACGATTTCCAATCATCGTGGGAAAGGGAGGTCATTAATGAGGTTCAATCCTGCGGATTGTCTCACCTTTACTTTGAGTCTATGACGTACAATCAAGCTAGAGCTGTGATCTCCCGGAGACTGAGTGACATTGCCAGACAAGAGGACATAGCCCAGGTAAAACCAGGGATGTTCCTAGGGGACCAGATTTATCGGACCATACCAGCCCCCTACCTTGCAGAAATCCACTATGTGGAATACCGTAGACTTCTTACAGCGGCTAGATTAAATGTCCTTGACTCTGCGATATTGTGGGGAAGGTACAGGGGAGTACCATACGCCCAGAGAACCTGTCATTGTGCCATGGGTGTGGTTGAGTCCACCGAACACATTCTCTTGACTTGCCCTTCTTATGCAGAGCTTAGACAAAATTTTATAGACCCACTCCTATGTCAATTCAGCTTCCTACCCGGAGAAAACCAGGTTTTACACTTGCTGAATAACGCCACTAGAGCTATACCTTCCTTGGTGGCCAAATTTCTCTTCTTAGCTTTTAAGCGTCGCAAGACTATAATTGACTGTATTGATATGGGGCTATCTGTTTAGCCCATTTTAGTGTTGGCTAAGTTTTAAAATCTTCCTGGATGTTTTTAACTGTGTATTGACAAAATGTACTTTTTTCTGACTGACGGTCGAATAAAAAGGATGATGATGATGATGACTTGAAAAATGAATGGGAACCTTTTACAAACTACAATAAAGTGAACTGGACTCCTTGGCAGGTTTTGAATAAACACTCACAAACTTTTTATTGACAATAGCTAGTTAGATAAATCAAGGATCTACATAATTTTGTAACATGCAGAGAATAACATTTGTTGATAAACCAGAGAGAGGAGCTGAGGGAAGTCTGCGGGGGGAGGGGAGGGTGGGTTACTTTATGGTGAGGGGGAGGGGGGAAATAGGTTCTCAGAATCCTTATCTGCAACTGGAAATTCCCCAGTTATACTCCTGTAACAGTTTCAAAAGCTCCCTCTAGAGGGAAACAGTCTCCACTTGTATCAATTCTTTCAAGCGCAACTCAAGCATTAAAGATAAATTTTCAGTTACTTTTCCTCTTTTTTAAAACGCAGAAAAGGACAATGGAAACAGTATCTTACTCCTATTTAGCTAGCTGTCAAATCCGTTCTGTCAAAAGCACTCTCTCCAAACGTCATCTGGCAGCCGTTCCCAGGTTCAGAGCAGTGGTAATTTAATTTTTTCACTCTCTCCTGCAGGCTCACTAGATCCAAAATTCCCCCCTCTTCTCCTGCTTCCAAGGGGGGCTTTGTATTTTAAACCGGTGGAAATTTGATCCTTTGCCAAAAGCTTTCAAAGGCTTTAACTTGTAACATCTTTGCTTCAGTCTATTTACAAAAACGGGAGGCGGGCTTCCTGTTTATAACCTTCCCGTTTCAGTGCCGAATTAAAGTATTTAAGAATCCAATTTCCCGTTTTACTCACGAGTAGTTGTTTAAAATCCAATTGTCCACAGGAAAAAGTCAGCGCTCTTCGGCAACAGCAATGCGGCTTCACTCCATGAAAGAAGCAGTCGATTCAAAGCACCGCACCACTCACCCCACGTCGCTCCGGATCCCCAAAACAGGGTTTCCCCGCGAGTAGGGGAGGCGCAAAGGTGCCAGCCGAATCCCATGTCCACAGGCTTCTCCCGCCTGTGGTTTTTAATGGGTCTCCACCTCGCCGTGGCGGTTCAGAGCCAGTTTTCCACGGAGCGGATTCCTCCCGATCAGAGGAAATCCGCCATTGCCAGAGGCGCCAACCCGGAAGTCCCAACTGGGATGGCTTTAATAGAGGACTGGGGAAACTCCTGGAAGGCAAAGCTCGCAATGGCCGCTAACTACAATGGCCATGTTCTGCCTCCACAATTGGAGGCAGTAATGCTTCTGAAGACCACCTGATGGGAATCGCAGGAGGAAAGAGTTGCTCTCAAGCTCGGATCCTGCTTCTGGGTTTCCCTCTGGGGCATCTGGTTGGCCCCTGTCAGAACTGGACAGAGGAGCCATTGGCTTCATCCAGCAGGCTCTTAATATGTTCTTATGTCTGAATTAGTTTGCAGCCAGCCTTGTGCCCAGTGCCAGATTTACATATAAGCTAAACAAGCTATAGCTTAGGGCCCCACTCTCTTGGGGGCCCCAAAAAAAATTAAAGGAGAAAAAAACTGGATGTACATTTCCAAAATATGAGATAAAAAACAAATAAAATAAAACCTATGTACAGTTAGAGCTTAATAATTATTTAACTATTAATATACTTCTTAATTGTATTTCAGTTCAACAATTGCTTTGATAAAATACATATTTTGTTATGTGCAAATGGCTTAAGATAACTATTAGGTCCATAAAGTACCATATAGCATATATTCAACACAAAAAAGCAGTGACCATTTGTTGACAGAGGACAGCTGGACATATAAAGGGCCCCATTACCTTCAGGAGCTTAGGGCCTCATCAGACCTAAATCTGGCCCTGCCTGTGCCTGCATGAAGGTATGTAAGCCACATTGCCCTATCACTGCAGGAGTGAAGAAGCTTTTTCAGCCCGGGGGCCAACTTTCCTTCTGGTTAGCCTTCTGAGGGCCACATGCCAGCAGCGTGCGAGGCCAGAGGCAGAAGTAGGTAGAGCAACTACTATAAATAATTGCCTTTGTGCGGTAGGTTAGTTCCTACACACTCTCACACACACTGCTTTGGTGCTCAGATCCTGCTCGAGGGATCCCCACTGGGGCATCTGATTGGCCACTGTGGGAACAGGAGGCTGGGCTAGTTGGACCATTGGCCAGGGGTGCCAACTTGAATAAAATATTGTGGGGGGGGGCAGGTAAGCCCCACCTTGCATAACTGATCACATGACACAGTGTGCACACACCATTTGAATGGGAATGTCCATCCACTTTGTGGAGGCCTGGCCCCTCAAATATTTTATTGTGGGGGCCAAAACCCCCATGGCCCCTAGGAGTAGGCCCCTGTGCCTTTGGCCTGACCCAGCAGCCAAAGAACAGCTCTTCTCAGCCTGTTCTCAAGTAGGCTGTGCTTTCTTAAGCCTCAGGATTTCAGGCTATTGTAACAGGCCATTTTCAGCCTGCAGGTTAGAGCTGGGTGACAGCAATGATCTGCAGCCACAAATGGCCTCCTATTTAACACACTCTTAAGTGTTTTAGACTACAAGTCTCATCAGCTCCAGCCAGCATGGCCAATGGGAGTTGTAATACAACAACGTTTTGAAGATCAGCCAGGTTGGTGACGTTTGACACAGGTGCCACAAGAGGGCGCCATGTGGAAGAGGAGATACTGAGTTCTTTGGTTTTGCAAATTTATCTTGAGCTATGATAAGAAAATAACACTGATTGCAGATTTTAAAAAATGCACAGATTATACTCAAGGGCACAGCACATAACTTACTTATCTTCACAAAAAGAGGAAAGTTCCCCCCACCCAAGCGAGCATTTTTCTGAGGCTAAGCTGCAGCAGGAACATATTGTTGTTGCCCCAATTACTTATAAAGTGGAGGGGGGCGTGGTCAGTGGGAAGAAGAGATCTCGAGTACAAAACAGGGTGAGCATTGCTGGGGTGATGCAGTCTGTTGCTGAAAGTCCTCTTTCACCTGATGCCGGCAGTCAGGCTACTCTGTTAGGACAGACCTACCAAGTGAAATGTTGAGCAGAATTCTCCCCCCCCCCATTAGACTAAAAGACTAACAATGCATGAATTGGAAAGGAAAAAAAAAAACTTATGTCATGTGGTATTACTTAATTTCTAAATTTGTTATGGGGTTAAGCGTTATTGGGCCACACATGTAGAAGCTCTTTCCCTGCTCATAGATGTGCAGAGATGTTTTTAAGTGAGAAAAGAGTGGCGCTCTTGTGTGGGGAAGGGGTTGTATTCAGGAGAGCCTCTCGCCTCCCCTTCCTTGCCTCAACTGCTGCCAACTGAGTCTGACTTGACGTTTAGATATATGCTCTTAGGCTCCACTTCTTCTGGGTCCAAATGCCAGAGGAATTCCTTTGAGGGGAAACTCACAGACTTCCACATCAGTTTTCCTATCACACTCTCTTCTCCTGCATTTCCACACATGATCTTTCCTTTCTCATGAGCTTTGAAGGTGAGCCTCTTCAACTGTCTTTTAAATGGGTGGTCTGTTTGGCTGCTGAACAGGTTAGACATTTCCTTGCAGGTAGCCCAGTATTTTCTAAGATGGCACTACCCCTTTTTTTTTAATTTTTAAATATTTATTCAAAATTTCATCAATACATAAAAAACATCCCCAACCCTAACCCCAAAGAGAAAAAATAAAAAATAATAAAGTAAGAAAAAAAGAAAAAAGAAAATACATATTTCAAATTTCGACTTTTCATTTGCTTGATTCTTGAACCTCCTCACACCTCCCTTTTTGTATTCTAGTTTAATTCGTTATTTCAGCAAATTCTTCCCATATTTCTCAATTTTAATTTAAATAATTAATCTTCACAATCTATCTTATTTGTTAATCAACGTAACCTTTCCCTCTTTTAATATAATCTGTTATTCAATTTGCCTTAATCTTTAACCTTATCTTATCTTAAAAATCTTAAAATTTCGAAATCACATCACATTCATACATTTCTCCTTAAAATCATTTCTACTAAAGCCAATTTGGTTCCTTTCCAGCATATTCCCTCAAATTTCATTAATATTAGACAAATTTCATTGATATTAAACTAATTCCAAAATTAACATAAAAATTTCTATGATTTTCATCCAACGTCCCATCTTCCTGGTTTCGGTCATATCAGTCCTTTCTGTCCGTTACATAGTCCATCAATCTGGTGTTCTGATGTCCGAGGCCCTTAAATCTCTTCTAGGCCCCTTCTGCAAATTTTTTTTGTTCTTGTTTGTGCTTACGCAGTTCTTTGTCTATTGTTGGTTTCTGGGGGAGTGGGTCTCCGGAGGGTTCCATCCAGTGATAATTTCCATTTTCCTTCATTATATTGTCCCCTTCCCCCCAGTCCCACTCCCAATCTTCATCTTTGTAGTCCAAAAAGTATGTATCCAGAAGATAGTTATTCACCTGTTTCACAGTCACACTGGAGTTAAAAGCTTCCTTAACTTCAAATGCTTCCCAGCACTCTCCAAAATCAATCTTCCAACGCAGTAGCTTTTGTTCCTGGAAAACTTTGGGTCTTTCCATTTGTGTTGTGTAATAGATAGCTACTGCCTCTTCCTCCTCCATCTGCCCTTGGACTTGCCTTGTCAGGCCAGGTTCATCCTTATTCCCTGTTATATCATGTTGGCTGGTCACAGCACTCATAAAATCCAGTTTTCATTCATCAGACTCATTTTCTCGTGCAGCTGCTCCAGCAAAACATTAGTCCTACCAAGGGCAGACACCAAACCTTCCTGCCAATACATTTCTATTCCAGAACAAGGTCAAACGGCTGTTCCCACGATCCAAATCTCACATATGCAAACTGCGACCGCAAACTGACAGGCTCCCTCTAGGGGACACAATTTCTGTTTGTATCCATTGGTGGTTTTTTTGAAGAAAGTATCCAACAAAGAAAGTTACTTTCAATTTCAGGTCCTTTCAATTTCAAATACTTTGTTTCTTTAAAGAGCAAAAATGCAGAAGGTAGCGTTGAAGTTAATTTGTTTCTTCTTTTTTTTTTAACTATCTGTCAAAA